GAAAAGTGCTGATGCAACCAGAAGAGAATGAAACTTCCGTCGAATAAATGCTAAATATTATTTTTTAAGGTAAATATTTGCTAAATATCTTCATAAAATACTGCAAAATTATTCATATTTCTGATTTCAATCCCGAATTTTAACAAAACATTGGGCTTTTGCCCTAACACCTAAAGAAAAATTAAGGATTACTCTGTGTTCTTACAGCTCATAATCCTTTAATAAAAAAGATAATTATAATAAATTAAATGTAATTAATTTAAAATAGTATCTGAATGATACCACTAGTGTTTTCAGTGAAATCCAATTAGCAGTGAGCTAACTTAAAATTATGAAAAAAATATTCAATGCTTTTGAATTTTATAATAAAAGTGTGATTCTTTGTCACATTTACTAATGAGTTAAATGCTAAATAAAGGTCTCAACAATTTTTGGATATTTTAGACAAAATTTACTTAAAAATTTGGAATCTATTCAGCAAAAATTTTGGCTTATTCTAGGACAGTAATTTTATCACAATGCATACATGAGGAAATTTCTTTAGATTTCAACAATACTAATTTTTTTTTCAAATATATAAGAAAAATTGTAGAATTTTAGTTTTAACTATCATTTTCTAATTTATTTTTTAATTATTATATTATATCTAAATAATTTTAAAATGATGCCTTGCTATGTTTTAAGATGAGATTCGACTAAAGAATAAATTTCATTACTTAACCGATTGCAGCATATCTCTCAAGGACTATCTGCTTAAGGGAAGACATGGCTTTATTTAAACACTTTCTGAAGGAAACTGGATGGTATTCTTTTCACGCGAGAGAGAAAATAAGAAAATGGATTATGCGCGATTTTGGTTTGTTTTAGTTTAATTTGATTCCGGCAAAGCACTTGAGGCTATCTGCCTAAGGAGAGAGATGACCTTCCTTGAGGACTTTCTTAGGTAAATTATCTCGTTACACATGAGGTTTAGTTTGTGGGATTATAGCAAAGCCTCAAGGGCTATCTGCTTAAGAGGAGGGATGCCTCCGCGGGGGGACTTTTTAAGGTAAACTGGCTTGTATACACGTGTATACACGTACGTGTATACAAGCCACGAAAACGCCCATGCGGCCAGCGGCCACGAAAACGCCCATGCAGCCAGCGCATTCGCGGTCTTGGAACCTCGGATCGAACTACCAGTGTTCAGCGACTTTACCGCTCTGTCACTGGTGGGATCTCGTTACACATGAGGAAAACTAAAAAAAGTCTCTGCAGCCAGGCCATTTACTGGGATTCGAACCTCGGACAACAATCAGTATTTAGCGGTCTTACCTGCTCTGGCATTGTTAGGTAAGTGAATTCGGTCTTGTTAAACATACGTTAATGAATCTTATGACAGCGCAACTTTGTTAGAATTAAGGCACCTAATATCGTTAACAATTGTGTCTCAGTATCAACAAACTATGCTAATGTAAAATAATCCTTTGCCATATTTATAAAAGTTTTTGCTGACAAGACGACATCGTATTAAAATTTAAAAAAAGGTATTTCAATAAGAATGACATGATTTTAAAAACGAAATGGCAGCCATGTTTAAAATGTTATCTTTGTCACTCATTGTCGCCCTGTTTGTGTTCAGTATGCTGAGAATTCAGATTCATCATGGCTAAATATATGCTTTAAGAACATTAATTTGGGGCAAAAAAAAATTATTTTCTCAGATGAAGCTTATTTCTGCTTCATTGGATATGTTAACAAAATAAAATTGTTGTTCTTGGTGCAAAAACAATCCATAAGAGATTCACGAGAAGGCTTGTATTGGGAAAAGTTATTGTATGGTACAGTTTATGGTACACCATACAACATCATCAGAGTAGTCCCCCCCCAAAAAAAAATAAAAAAAACGAGGGAGGAGATGAAGCCACAGTAATTGGTGAGTAAAATTGATTGATGACAAAAACATTTTTTATGGCCAAATTCGAAGGACATTGATTTAAGGGACATGTGGTTCCAGTAAGATGGTGCCACATTTCACACTGCTGACGCTGCTATCGTATCGACAATAGCAAAAATTTTGGCGAAAAGTCAATTTCACAAAATGCATCTGTTAATTGGTCTGGCAGAAGTTGTAAATTTAACTCCTTTTGTTATTTAAAATCAATGGTCGATGCGAACAAACCACGAACTCTGCAGCATTAAGAATAAACATCGAACGTAACATTCGTGACATTACGCCGAGTTCTTGCATACAGTCATAAAAAACTAGATTCATTGAAGTTACTCGCGTGCGCTAAGTCGAGTCACTTAAATGGTGTTTTATTCAGAACATAATGCCATAAATTGTACTTCAAAATAATATGAAAAGTTTGGTTGCATCTGAAATAGTTTTCAATTTATTTCATTTAAAATCATACCATTCTTACTAAAACATCTTTTAAAAGCACCGTCACTTTAATTGAAAGCTTGATTCCTTGTAACAGTAATTTCAACACTAGCAAAATTTGTTTTTAGAAAAGCACAACGTTTATTTTGTATCGTAAATTATAGCTGGTTAGTTGTATTACTGCTTCGCGTCTAGATCTGTTCCGGAAGTAAACCCTCGGCTGCGAAATTGTTAGTGTAAATCACAGGCCAGGAATTTTATGTGAAATTTCACAATTTCCATCGTGATTGTCCAGGAATGTCTGTTTGTTTTTTTATCATGATAAAATTGTTTCTCTAGTTATCTGTAAATGATTTGAGTATCTGCGACTGTCATCTGACTGCTGCCATTAAGAATATAAAAAGGAAATTATGATAACACTAATTCTAAAAGTAGCACCTCTTGTTATCGATTATTATGATCTAAGACGAAAACGCGCAACAAAGGCTTACTTAGATTGCATTGCGGAAATGCTTTTGCGTATTTTTATTCCTATGACGTATCTTTCGATGTATTTCCATTCTTAATTTAAATGATATGGTGATAGTAATTTTTTTCTTCGTTAGATTTATTATGCCCTGTTTTCGTCGCGTGGTTCCTCAAGTGCAGTACTGTATACTCCTATGTTAAACAAATCGCGAAGAATGTCTACAGAAGTGTTATGTTTGAAATATGAAAAAACTAATATTTATTCACATTTAAATTAGCATCCACCGAAACACTTTCTCCATCATTTATAACCTCCTTAGAAGTACTGGAAAAAAGCATTTTTAGTATCTAACATAAACTAGCAGTCTTAATTTTTTGGGCTAACTCGAATTGAAATAGTTTGAACTTGTTAAACAATGTTGATGAGAGAAAACAGAGGGCTCAGGGGGTCAGAAATATGCGTAATAAAATGGTGAAAGCATAACAAAATTATGTTTCTGATCAAAGAAACCCAAGCGTAATTGTTTAAATGTTCTTTGCTCAAAATACGGCGTCTTGCCGATTGATAGAAAGATGTTTTAAGTCCGTCTGCGTTAGAACAGGAACTATTTCATCTGAAATGATGTCAACTCATACATTACTTCTACAACGCTCTCTAGCTTCACACCTGAAACTAAAATTGCAAAATACGACTAAAGAATATGGCAACAATGGTGGGACCTTTGCCAATACAGCAAGAAGAGTTTACAACCTTTTCTCCAAAACTGATGCTTTTCCAATTCGTGTTACGACACAGATCACGTGGTTTATCACGGGGCACGGCCCCTTTCCTACGTACTTCTGTGCAAGGGATCTCTCAACAGATTCCTCTGCATGTGGAGAAATGGGTCCCTCCGAATACTATGTTCTTTCCTGTCGGTTAACAGAGTCACTTTATCTAAAGAAGCCAAATTCAGAAGGGGATCTATTCCTTTTCCTAAGATATGCAGTCGCAAATAAACATTTAAGGAATAAAATTTTGAAGGTTATTGACTTTCTAGGTGTTAGAAGTCAAGAGTTAGGCAGTGCAAATTAGCCGATAAAAAAGAGCCCCATCAACAGCGAAACAAAGCAATTAAATACAGATGCGATATTTGCGCGTGCAACTTCACAGGAAAGCAGTAAGCTGTGCTAATAATAAGAAGGGAAATTTTTCGTGTTTAATAAATTTCAAAAATTTATGCTCAAAATCTAAGGGGGATTAGTATGGGAGCAAGGTACTGTATATCCGTATATCCCCATTATGCCATAATGACTTATTCACCATTTTCTTACTCCTTTATTAAACTGGACCTGCGGGTCAAAGGTTTTCGACAAATTTTAAATGGTTTTGAATTATAGAAAAGATGATTTTTTTGCTTAAAGGGAGGGTTATGTTATCTTCGTGAAGAACTTTCTACAATAAAATAGATTCCCTAACAGGTAGTTAAATAGATGGTGATGAAAGTATATGAAACTACAATGCGAACAGTTGCAAGAAAGAAAGTAAGAATCTATAATATTATCTTTCTAATGATTACTAATCCAGTGGATCTTACAGTTTAACTTGATAAAAATCTTCCAATGTACTATTAGAGAAAGAAATTTCTTGATAATTTTTTTTTCTAATTTTTATATTTAAATTTCATGTCTTTTGTCTAAGAGAAAATTATTAACTATTAATCATTTTATTATCTGATACGAAAATGTATGCTAAGTAGAAAAAGAAATACGCGAATAAGATAAAAAATTATACTAACATTTAAAAAAATTAAAACCAACGTCGCTTTTAAATTTCATTAGATATCACTCATTCATCCGGTGTATCATTTTTGTATTAATAATAATAAAAAGAATAATATCACAAAGAATGATAAGTATAAATAAGGAAAAAAGTTTATGATACTGCACATTCTTAGCAAAATCTGAAGAACTAAAATTAAGCTAGGTTAGAACTTGGTTATTGGACTATAACAAAGCTTCACACTTGAACTCTTACAAACCAAAACTCTAAACTAGAATAAAATTTAAAACCTGAAACATAATATCAGAAAAATTCCTTACACATATATTCTTAGTATAATTAAATTATTATATCAATTCAATAGAAATTAACCATTACGGGGAAAAAACTCTGTCATAGGCGATCTTAGCTCACAAGAAACTTTATTACACTTTTTTAAAATTTACATTTCACTGGCTTCATCTTGCATTTCAGTTTTAGTAAAAGTCCTTATAATACAGATCTATAGCTCTAAGTCTGTATCTTAACACTGACAATCTGGATTTTCAGATTGAAGATACATATTCATTGCTTCGATGAACTATCGAGACCTTTTCTTTTGAACTTCCCCAAACTCCATATCGAAAACTATTAGAATATAGTTCCTTGACCTAAAGGCTAAATCTTTGGGTTTTAAGCACATTATCTTATCAGACAGTCCGCAATTTTGTGAAAAATCTGAACTCTTGTTATATGTCTGAGATTTATTAATCAAATCTCACGGTAAGGATCTTTTCAATAACATGCAGTTTGAATCCAAAAGTATGGTATCCATGGTATCCAATGATTTCTGAACGAATCCTGCGAGTTTTTTAATGTGTAGGTCTAGCAGGTATGGAGAGTGGATACTGAGGCTTATTCAGCATGGGATATCCATATAGCATTCTCTGAGAAAAAGCTTTCAAGTTGATTGGAAGATAGTGAGGAACAGGCTGGATCACGTGTCCAGACGAAGACATGGATCCGTAAGCAGATCTATCGTGGTGTGACGATCCATCGGTGGATGCAATATCGAAAGTCTGATGATAGTCCGCATGCTGGTTCCTGGAATTGCTATCTACCGGTGATGGAAGAAATGTATTGTGGTGATGATGGTGCCGAGGGTGGTAAGACAAGGATGACACGCTGGACTGAAGACGGAATGAGGATACTGATGTTCTGCTGCAGAAATCACCGGAAGATGTTACTGATGATTGTCTCTTTTGCAAGGGAAGATGGAAAGCTGAGCAGTCTGACGTTGCTGCATACAAAAAATGTGGTTATGAAAATAGCGAAAATGGCATAATAAGCACAAGTATTTTATTGTAAATTCAACAATAAAAAAATTTCCCCATTAGAATGCTCACATCATGATAATGAGAAAAGATAGCTTTTGTTAAATGCTTTCTCATCAAATTCGCAGCATAAAATTTAATCTCGGACATGCAAAGTTTTTCTTTTCACACTTATTCATTTATACGTATACAAATAGATGCATACATGATTGTATACTGAACTCTCTATATATACATATTTAAATATGCACATGAATGTTTTACATATAAATGAGATATATATTTATTACTTCGTACACTTCGATTAAGTTTTGTATGAAAATTTCCTTATATACCCTTTGATATCCTTTAATTATATCAAAGATAGTGGAACATATATACATACGTAAATTAAAACTAAAAATTAAATTTAAAATTGAACTTTAAATTTGATACATTCATTATCGGTACCAGTTTTTCCCTTTTATCTGTTTAACTGCTATTAGGGGTGCTTATTGGTTTAGTTATTCCCGATTTCACTGCTTTTTATTGATAAAAAAACCCTAATTTATTTAATTATACATACACACACACATATGCGTATAAATTTTGTTTCCTCGCTATCTGGGCGCGTTTAACATCACCAGTATTGCATCAATAAAGGATGTGTCCGAAGAATAAATAAACTGTGAGTTAAACTCTGTACGTTTGTCTACAACTCCATCATTCCATCTACGCAACAGTTTGAAGCTATCTGTCATCGTCGTCCCACCACGACTGCTCCGCAATTGGTTTCATCCTCCGCCAAAATACTACATCATATGTATATTACGCGTTTTAGTTGTAATTTTCTTTTGAGTACTTTGCTATAGAAATTTCTTGAAAAGAATGGTTTTTGTTGTATCAGAAAATACATTTTAAATTTCTCTTTGCATTAAAACTTAAGATACTGAAACTGTTTCTGAATTAATTTCGCCAAACTGTCTATAGATTCTTCTAAAAATGTAAATTGATTTATTTTTTAGCTACTGTTTTTAAATAAAGGGCAAATTACATAATGTGAAGGTTTTACTTACTGCCGGTCTGCTTTGAAATATCTCCATACAACCTAAGTCTGGAATTTCTCCGTGTTTGGGGCTGTATCTTGCAGACACTGCAGTTACAAGAATGGAATTTGGAATCATGGTCCGTACTTCTGAGTTCTGTAAAAGGAAGTATTTTTCATCAGTTCTTCTACGCAATGAATGTAAGTTAAAATGTCTGATTTTAATAATTATAGCTCAAGTTTATTCTTTAAATTTTTTGATAAAAAATAATGCTCATGGAAGACATATGCATCCCAGTTTGAACATCAACGATTTAACCAAGAAAGAGATCCACGAAAAAGACAGAGAAAGATAGAGAGATTTAACCAAGAAAGAGACCCTCGTTGAAAAAATAATTAGAAAAAAAAGATAATTAGGAGATAATTTCGGTCCATAAATTTACAATCATCTCCTACAACTAGAATGAGGGACCCGGAGCCTTTCGAAACAATCTAGACATTTCTAATCAGAAGAGAATTTTGTAAACAAATCCTAACGAAGCATAGTTTACTTAATGTTCTTTCTCACATCTAAGTTTATTAAACGTTCTTCCTCGTTTCTACTACCAATATCAGCATCACAAACATTGCTTGTGATTTCCATATTCTAAGTCATATGATAAGTCTAAACGCGCGCAAGTTAGAGTATTTTAGATAATTTATGTAAACATCATATAACACAGGTAGAAGATTTATCTGCTCAAATAAGTTGCCCAACATCCACCCTGACTTATAAGGGGTTATCCAAAAAATATATCCGAAATTATTTTTAAGTAATTATTTTATAATTTGAGCGTATTTTAGTTCTCTTCAAGGTGTTTCCACAGTTATCGATAAACTCGTTCAACACTTTTCCCGTTGATGGAAACATGGAAATAATTCTGGTACTATTGGCATGGAATATTATTCAAGACCAGTAACGTTATTACTTTGCACCTCATCCATACCACAGGATTCCTTTCTAAAGCTTTCTTTCTCTGTGGAAATATAAAAAGTTGCATCGGGCAAAAGCGATTGGGGAATAGAATGACACAAGCTCTTTTTTCGTAGCCTGTCGCATTATCCCAATACTTTCCTCTTTTCTGCTGGTCAAAGGATGTCAAAGTCAGAGCAGCCTTCATTTCATATGTTGCCATGTTTGAATCTGGGAAACCAATGGTGCGCTTACTATTTATGCGAAGTATCAGCTTTAAAAGATTGCTGGAGCCCGCCCCAAAAAAACAGTCTAACTTCAGATTTCCTCAATAAAAAAATTCAAGCCCACTGTTTGTTCTTTGTGATCATTCATTCCAAAAACTATTCGGTATGCTGAGAGTAAAAACATACACACAAATCAGCACTCAGAACAAATACGTATCTCTATTCGAATTGCTGCTACTTGACAAATAGGCGCAGAAAAAATCCGATGTTAATAAGGAAAAACTATGTGGTACGTAATTAGGAAGTACTCGCTTGCAGTGTTGTTATTCCGTTTACTTTTGGGTACCTCTACCTAGCTAAGTGTCGCTTGCTTCGCTGTCTAAAAAAGCAAAGCTCAACCTAATGCTGGCATTAATCTGTAAAAGCAATTCATAAATTTCAGAGATTCTGACACGAGTCCTTCTTTTCACGAAATAACTGAGCTTAAAATATTTTTCTTTCTTGAAAAGAAAAGATATGTGTTGTTGACACAGTAATTCAACTGCAATTTATTTCTAGAAAAATAATCAACATACATTAAAATGAGATACATTCCGATGATCTCATTGATCACGTGCCTTATGTATACCTTTTATAAACAAACGATGGAGATGATTTCAGAGATCACGTGACTTATGTACAGCTAATGCAAACAAGCAAGGTCATTCTTCCTCTTCTTCTCTTGTGGAATGTATCTCATTAACTCCAATCTAAGGTTTAATTCAACCTAATTAAATTAGTGAGTAAGCTAACTTTACTTGACTTTATATAAAGCAACCAACCAATATTCACGCAAGCCTGCATATATACAAGAAGATTGTTTCACGAAAGTTTAGGCAAATCATAGCTGTCTTGAAGAAATTGATATACTTTTGTATCTTTTTATGTCTGTGAGGATAGGAAGGTATTTTACAAAATTTTAAATGCTTTGTTTACTCAGATGGGAGATTCAAGAAATCATTTCCGGGGTAGTTGATACCTACCATGAAAAAAAAAATGCTTCTAATAAATCAGAATATCCATTAATATCAATGAACTTTCAATTCTTTATGACCACAATTAATAATTTGTTCTTTTAAATAATAAAATATATTATTAATGAGATACGAATATCTTAAAAAATATACCTCTTATACCTTTAAAGAAATTTATATTTTGTTTCCTAATGCAGTTCTTCTTCCTAATACAACCATGAAGCAAGTAATATTAATTACTAAATACCTCTGACTCAACTGCAATTTAAATCGAAAAAGTCTTGCAGAGCTCCATCAGGCTGCTTTTACTCACACGATAGTTTATACTGAGAAAAGAGATTTTATACCTCGACCTTGAGGATGCGTGCTGAGTGATGTTAGCTCTTTTAACTACATAAACATATTTGACGTGGGTGCTCTTTACAAATTTTAGTTAACAATTAATATGTTATAAAGGCCATCAACCTACTTATTTGTGATATGTCTTGTGATTTGAGACATTTGATGACACTTTGCAAGCCTTCTTTGACAGGCACATGAGATAGAGTCCCAACGCTAACTACAGCTTCTGGACCTGTGTCCGAAACCCCAGGTAAGTGACCGTACAGAGGACCCAGTTTGGTGACGGGTGTTGAAGCGGCCATAGTCACGGGGAAGACTTTTCTGGATATCTGTTCGTGTCCCCAAACTCGCCACATCTCTCGAATGACAGGGTCTATACCAGGGCTCTGGAATATAAAATTCAGAAACGATAGTAAAAACTTGCTTGTTATTTGCTTAAATAATGAGTTACAAGTAAAGGAATAATTATGTTTGGATTTGTTATTAAAAAAGTTATCTTTCATTTATACATTTATCATTTTATCTTAAAGCTTTAGTACTTTAAAGCTTTTCCGAACAACAGACATTTTGAAAATATTCCTTTCTTATGCTCTGATGCAGGGTTTCTCAAACTCTGGTACATGTACCCTTAATGGTATATTATATTATAAAGGATGTTCACGCATTTTTAGACGATTTTACTTTGCTGGAAAAAAAGTCTCCTGTTTGGAATTTTTTTTAAAACTGCGCTATATTTTTAAACGATAAATTATCGCCTGCTACTTGACAGTTTTGTTTTCATGCAAAATGTCGCTTTTAAAGATGCTGCAATGGCTAGAAGGCTACGTTTGGCTTCTTTCCGAAGAAAATTATTCGCATCTAGTTATTGAAAAATGCTGTGGAAAGACACAAAAAGTTTAGGTAAAATATTTCCGTAAATACAATGAAAACCGTCTAAAAAATGTGCAAACATCCTCTGTATTTTGGGCAGTACGATTATTATACCGAAGATTTAAATGAATGTTCAAAATGAATGTAAAATGGCATCCTTTTACATACATTTGAATTGGTACATTATGATACATGATACATTTTTTATTCTTACGAAATTTAAAAGGCTGAGGACTTCTGCCCTAACTCAAACTACGACCCCTCCAAGTTTCACGTGTGACCCGAAGAGAAATTATTTACAGTTCTCTCAAATAAAGATTGTTCTTCCGGAAAACTTTAAAATAATTTTAAGCAGTTTAGCTGCCTTACCCAAAGATTTAATATCTGAAAAAACTTAAGAACTCTCTGTTACTTGTAGAAAATCCCTAGCATGTAGAGTAACAGTTATATAGTTAGTTGCATTGATTTATGATTATGGGACGCTATTTGACGAATTCATCGAGCTTAAAAAATATGAATCTGAAGGAAATTTCGAAAAAAAGGGAGAAAGAAAGGGCAGTATGTTGAATATTGAAAATACAAGATGTTCAGAAGTGTGTTTACTTCCCTTTTCCCATCAACATATCGTTGTGAATCGTCTTATTATAAAATGAAGTATTCGAAAACTCTTTCTTTAATGACGAATTTAGAATAGCACGCAGAAATTATAAACCTGATTATTCAAAAAATTTTATCAAAATCACAGAATTTTTTAAATAAATACTTGAAAAATTAAGGTTTATTTTTTATATACTATGAGATATAGCATATTGTGTTGATGTCGCGTAATGTAGCAAACGGAAGTACGTGGTCCCAAGTTAAAAAAATGTTTGAGTCTTGTTATCCTAAAGCAATGATCACGTACGAGGTTTTTGCTGAACAACAATCATTACACACAAGCTTTCTGTATAAGAATCTATTCTTTGTTTTGGTTTAGAGAATAAAAAACTTTTGAGTTGCTCATTTTTTAGTTAAAATTAATATTTAAATATTGCTCCATATGGGGTAAATGATTTCATGCTGTTAACCTGAAATGAGAATAATGAATGAACTGTTTTTTCTAAATATTGCAAGCAAACAGCAAAGTGAAATAATTGTTTACTTGTAATTTACATTAAATGATATAAGGCAAAGCTCTTCTAATGAAAATAACCCAGTTTTTCATCAGAAAGTTATTTCAGCCTACAATTAATTTTCTGCTAATTATCCAAATAATCAGACCGGTTGTGTTATACTTTGGGTTATATTTTTATTATATTCAGAAGCTTAAATTGAATGCTTTGCGTTTCCAGTATTTAACCAATTTTATCTTGTAAAATCATTAGGTTTATCGATGCAGGAGACGTGAAAATGTCCATTGCCCTTGCCGGGATTTGAACTCAGGTCTTCCCAATTACGAGTCGGACGTGTTTCCAGTTACACCATGAAGACACTCGAAAAGGCAACAGAAAGTACCTTATAACCTCAGTAGATTGCAGAGATACGCTATGTATAATATAAAACGCAAAGCACCCTAATTTTAAATTTAAATCAAGGCTAAACTCCTTGAGCCAACTTTTTAAAGAAAACTCTTACGGGAGCGATTAACACGAGGGCCCCCTTCCCCAGAAAAAAAGAAGAAAAAAAAAAGTATTTTCGGAGCAAAAATGATCTCAGAATATTTTCACTTCTTGAAAAAGAGAATATCGAGCCTGTCTCCCTCGAAATATTCAGTTTGATCGGAAGACAACGTAGGATTTTGAATTGCCAAAACTCATGTGCATAAAAATATATTAAAATGATTCTACAAATAGCAAGTTTTATATATGGCACCATGAACTTTATTCCCAAACTTCATTGAACTAATACTGAACTAATAATACTATTAAACTAACTCCATAATGCTAATTTTATTCAAAGTAAATGCTGTCATATGGTAAATGGTATGTCCACACTTGCTCCGTAGTTTCTTTTACCAGTTCGGCTGCATGGAAATTCAATAAACGCTCATTTGCAGATTTTATTCATCAGGAGTTAGATCAAGTTAATAGATTACGGCAAAGCATACATGTGGTATCTATTTAAGGAGGAAATGCTTTTGTGAAAAACTTTCCTAAGAAAACTAGATTGTATTAGGGAAAACCACGAAATACACATACAGCTAGCTTTTTCGCTACGATTTTAACCTGGGATGAAATATCAATGCTCACTGATCTTAGCCACTTACTATCTGGTACCCTTTTTACCTCCTTGTACGAATTAAAGGAAGTACTATAATCGTGAAACATTTCGTGTGTCATATTTCAACGAAAATATCCATTCTGACCGTTCTCAAATCCATTTGGACGAATGATTTGTGTGACATCTGTACCTACAAAGGACTATTTTTTCCAAAACAGATTGTAAAATGGATTCAAAAGGGATTTTTTTCGTGACGCCTGTACGCAGATTATTGCCTACATATTTCACCTGAGGCAAAGAGGTAATTTTGCTTCTTTATGTATAATAAAAACTGGAAGCTCCTCGGAAAAAAAGAAAAAGAAAGAAGGGAATAACTTTTTTTAAAATGAGCGAAATAATACCTTGCTTAAATTAAAAGCCATATTTTTGCGTACTAATTTTAAACAACGAGGCGAACAAGGAATGTATTGGGAAAGATAATTTTTATCAAATATTTGCTTTCACAACTTTGTACACTCCAGCTATTTGGCCACCTAATCACATAGCTGAACTTGAATATTTTGGGTATCCAGGCCATCTTGTTCTAAATTATTAAAAGTGTTGTTTCCTAAATCGCCTTTCCCTGCCCTTTCGAGGATAATTTAATGTTATTAAGTCTTCCCTTAATTCAAGTGGATGGTGTGTAACAAAAAATTCATTTGATACGTCTTGGTTCGTCTCAAAGTTGAAACTTAAAAATCATAATTTCTTTTTTAAAATGAATTTATAAATTTTCGTAGCCAATTTGATTCCTGTTCTATTTCTTAACCTGAGGCAAGACCTCACTTGCATCCCCTTGTTCCGCCTCTGTCTGTACTTACTTGAGAAAGTATGTATGTATGCATGTATCTCGCATAACTCAAAAACGACTAGCCGTAAGACGTTTAAATTTTGTACATGGAGCTGTTATCACATCTAGCTGTGCATCTCCTTTTTTATTACTATCCGCAGTGCTAAGCTTATATCTATATCTATAACTGCCAATCTATATGTCTATTTATCTATCTATGCATCTATCAATCTCTCTCTATATATTATATGTATATATGTATACCCACCTCCTAACCCGACTTAAAAGTCCTTGCCCAGCTTTTATTTTCGCAGTCGTTAGTCGTAGTCATATACTTTCAGTTACAGAAGTGCTTTAAATGACAAAAATATTCATGTTTTAGCAAAGTCAAATTAGAAAAAAATGATTTTAGACAAATAACGAAATCTAACTTTTAATGCCGTCTCCCGGTTAGTATACTTATTTCTGGGAAAGTTTTATACTCGTTATAAAAAAATAAAATCTTAAAAAGTTTGACAACCGTACGGACAAAAATCAAGCGAGATATTTAATTTTATAATTTGCAATTTTTGATACCATTTTCAACTTGCCTTGAGGGATCGTTAATTAAGTTAAAATAATTCAAGGAAATAAGTTTTAATGCAGTGCAGCAAAAAATGTGTATAATTTAATTGACAGTACAGGGAAGTTATGACCGTACAGACCGTTATCCATATCAGATGTTTTCAGTATCAGCAATGTATCAGTTTTTTTTTCTATTTCAGTGAATCAAGGGTAATTTAAGAAATTTTCAAAAAAAAAAAAAAAAAAAATAATCTAGAGGATGAACTTGGGACTGGATTTGCAAAGTATGTTGAAGATAATGGATTGAAGATGCGTATAAAGTTACATCAACGTATCACCAGTAAAGAAATACCGGACAGTCTTCGCTGTGTATACTGATCATTAATATATCATTTGAAATACACATCATAAAGTTTTCTCATGCTGTTGTTTGCACTCTACATGAACTCAGTTCTAAAATCCATGAATAACATGTATCGATTTGCACTTCTAAGCGAAGCTTTTCTTGAGGTGCAACTTGAAAAAAGATGAGAAAAAGATTTTTTTTTTTTTTTTTTTGTTTTTGTTACCGTTGTTAAAAACAAAAGTAGATGTTGAGCCGAAAAAAGAAAGCCTTACACGGAGAGAGAGAGAGCAAAAAAAAAAAAAAAAAAAAAAAAAAAAAAAAAAAAAAACAGGACTCCATTTAGAGAAGATTTTGCTCTAAATATGTCGGAAAGTATAATTTATTTTAAACTATTAGAAAATAGCCAAATTATTAATGCACACAAATACTATCATTAGTTAGGTAACTTGAGAGGAGCTTTAACTACCGAGTGATCTGTAGTGATCCACAGATATCTTATGATTCTTCCAAAGGGTAATGCTAAATCATGTACTATAAGAGTGACTAGACAAAAGCCTAGTAATAGAAAATTCTTATTTATTATGCTTAAGAATGAAGATATTGCTTTCCCCTCCCGTCTCTTCCCTTGTTATGACACGATAATGGTTTCATGTTGGAAAAATTTTCTACAGTAAATAGGATGTCAAAAATATAATAAATAAATATTTTCACGAAATCAAAAGACATGTTGAAAAACGGGCACTGAAAAATTCCCTGACAGATAGACAAAGGTTATGCGAAATAATGGATACTGTATTAACAATTAAGTTTATGCCACAAAACATTTTCTGTACTTGTAGTTTTCATTTGTATCAGTTCTGCATTACTTCATGATCGAACTTATATATAGGTTTTCCTTTAAAATCTGAACAATAAAAATACGAAAATTACAACACAAACACCAATTTCATCTTAGTTTGAGAAGTGTTTGCTATTAAGTTACAATAGTGTTTCGATTATTTGGCATTTAGTTTTGGCATGCGAAATACCTAAAAAATCTAACTTATATCAAACATTACCATTGTTATTATTTTATAATTAGTAATAATATTAACATTATTGTTATGAATATTATTTTATTAAGAATACTGTAAGCGTTTTCGAGATAGCTGTCCGCTATGTTTCCAAATGAGTCGTAATTCTAGGAACAGCAATGCTGACAGTGAGATCATCGTAATTTTAGGAACAGTGCTGACAGTTTCATCAATTGTTCATCATCAATTGTTTTTTCTTCCCAATTAACTTTTATTCTACAGAATCATGCTTTCATTTCCTTTAATAGCCATCATAATATGTTTCTTTTCTACTGAGCAACTTCTATGTTTCTGAGAGTGGAATATAGCCTTGAAAATTAGATTTGTAAATCTACTTATTTTATTCTATATCTTTGTGGGACTTTTCATTAGAATGATGTTTATAACATAACAGGAAATAAGAAAATGAAATATTTTACACAACAAAATAACTGTGACAAGAAATCTCTTGCCGGATAAGAGTCGGGTAAGAGTGGTTAGGTATTATGAGAGATATGCAGTGCTCTGTGTATAATAAAGGATCTATTTTTATTTTCTAATGGAATAATTTTCCGTTATAGATACGCAAAAGATAAAGTTGATATATTGATTGCAGGGCTGGATAATAATGTCTGTTATAATAACACCAAATTCATAACAAATTAATTTTTTTTGCAGTCTCTTAATAACCGATTGTCTTCTTCCACGTTATCCGACATTTCAGTTATATGATTATCATTCAGCTCCATTTATGTTGTATAATCGGGATTGAACTTTTCATATTTATACTTGCGAACTATCTTAATAAAAAATTTTATGAATACATAGTTACAAAATAATGAATACATAGTTACAAAACCGTAATTCAGGTACTGAAAATGATTACGATAACAAAAAGTCTTGCAGCAGGGTTAGAGCCATATTATTACGCTAAAGTTTATTGCCACTTTATCTCTTTTTCAGTTGAAAAATTTTATGAAAACCACATTTCGAACAGGAAACAAATTATACTAGATGACAAAAATTAATAAAGTGGATATTTATTTTTGAATTAGTATCAAAACTGGAAAAAGATAACTATTATTTGCAGTAATAAATATACTTTTTGTTAACAATTAGAGCGAAGAAGAAATAAACGAGAATAAAAATCAATTCTCTAACATTTTTATTAAGGATTGTGAAAGGGCTCTAGATTTACTTTCTTTAAAGAACACCCTGAATTCAAAACTGTTTAGTAATAAAAGTATCAATCGGTATTGCGGTTTAATTTCAACTTTCAGATTCATGTCTACAAAAGTCAGAAAATCTAAAACGAACTTCAGACACATGTTTATCGTAATAATCCTATAAACATGTAATTTTTCATAAAACTCAGGATTACCACAATCTTAATTACGTTCCCATTAATGTCTATTTAAAACTAAGGTAAATTCCTGAAATTTGTAAAATTCTGGCGATGTAAGATAAAAAGCCTTGACAGGATTATGATCATGATTTTCACGATTTGCACGATTATGATCATGTCAAGGCTTTTTTACGATTCATACCTTGAACAACCTATTATAAACAGACGCTGATCATAAAAACGGTTTCACAGAATACTCACCTTAAACATCATGTCGACTTTTTTATAGTCTAATATTGAGCAAGTCGTTGATTGTAGTAATTCGACAAGCGACAAAAAATAGCTGGGGTCGGTTGCAGTTAAATTTCGCATTACTTCTTGCGTGTGCCTGCGAAGGAATTCTGGATATGACACTAAACAAGGCCGAAGAATTTTTTCCTGAAACAATCAATACCAAAATTCTAAAATTCAAAGACATTTTTCGAAGAACAATTATGAAAGTATCCATTATTTAATAAATAACAGTTTATTAAAAGCATATCAAGCACAGGTAATTTTATATTTTATTAAATTATTAATTAGTTAGAGAAAAATAATTGAATAGAAGAGATATAGTAGAAGAAAAAAGGATAGTTAGGAAGGTAATAGAATTATTGAAAGAATTTAAATATTAAATTATTAATAAAACCTTAATTAGATTCTTGTCTAGAAGCAGCGAATTTGGATTTATTTCTAAATCCACAGCTTCTGAATTAAACAAATGGATTTCGATTTGCTTTTAATTTGAAAATTCTTAGAAATATTTTCTGTTCGGTATAATTTTTGGTTTACATAATCATAAATGCAGTCATGCCTACTTTGACTAGTTGTATTGTTTGTTCAGGAGATTTTCCTGGAAATGTGTGGCTCAGGTTTTCTGTCTGTATCTCGTTGATGGTTTCTGCGCAAATGTCCAGAATCATTTCCTTGTATTTGCTACTTAATTCTGCAACCATTAACTGAAAATAAAAGTTCATGAGAAAAGAAATTTAAAATAAAACGTATTCTATTATTTTTTGATCACTTCAAAAGTGAAGTATTTAATATATACTTTAAATCAACAAGGGTAATAAAATTATAGAAAGTCAATATATAGTAGGAAGAGAAATTATTTTTGATATAATAAATCAGTTACAGGGGAAAACATCACAGAGAAAAAACGCAAAGCTAAAACATCGTTGTACAAAACATCGCAGGAGGGAAAAATTCAAGGAAAATATCGCAGTTCGGGGGAAAAAAAAAAAAAAACGCGTTATAAAACTTCGTTATCAAAAAGAAAGTTGTTCAAAAACATCGCAGTTTTAAAACACTGTTGTGAAAAATATCGCGGTTAAAAATAAAGCACTTACAATCATCGTATGACAACATCGCAGACATGTGTTTTTCAGGTTTTAAAAGTTGCAAATGTATATTCGTATAATGATTTGCGAGCTCAAGAAAATTTGAGGAATATTTTTACCTCTGTATTTCGTATTTTTGGATTAATTAATAATTTTTTACTAAAAAGCAAGAAGAAAACTTAAGCATTCAAAAACTGAAAAAGGAGTAGAGAATTAATTCTACATATAGAAGTTAACAAAATTTTAAATTTATGTACTTAGCTATTAAAAGTCATTATTTAATCAATATCTTTTATGACATTGTATTACAAGGTTTTAATAAAAAAGTGTCTAAAAAATTGGGAAAGTGATGATGAATAACTGCATGATATTACTTATATTAAAATGGTTTAATCGATTATGACACTGTAAAATTATTTTCTTTCACTTTGTTAATCTTATCTTATTTTAGTAAAAATTAAACTTTGTTTTGCTTGAAATAGTTAAAGAATTTTAATATAGGTAAGTTCATTCCGTTACTCATCTTTCCTTTTCTAATATCTTTAGATTATATTTTTAAACTACACCAAAATTATTAATTAATCCAAAAATATGAAATATAGAAATAAAAATATTCCTCTTTCCTTCTTGCACTCACAAATCATTATGTGAATATACATTTGCAACTTTTAAAATTTGAATTTATCGTTATTATAGTTAATGGGATGATTTGTAAGTATTTTATTTTTTACCACGATGTTCGTTTTAAAACTGCGATGTTTTTGAATTGCTTAGTTTTTGACGACGACCTTTTATATCCCGAGGTTTTAGAACTGCAATGTTTTCTTCTTGCTTTCTTTTCTATTACGATATTTTGTAAGATGACGTTTTCGTCATGCGTTGTTTCCTCCGCGACGTTTTCGTCCGAGATGTTTTCGGGGGACATCAATAGATCATATGACAGAATTTAAACTGCTGAATGGGAAATTTGTTTCTTAGCAGGATTATAAACGTTTGAAAGTTTTTGTGTTGTGAAAAATAAATGCTGTTTACGAAACATTTTTCCTGATTACTTTTTATGTTTCTATTTTTGTTTCCCAATTAAAAAGAATGCCCCTCAAAAAAGTGAAGAGAATTTTTAGTTAAGAAGAGTACAATATTAAGAAAAGATACCAATTAAGAAAATATATTAATACAAATTTATGACTAACACTCTCAGTGTTACTTTGCTATCAGGAAGAATGTAAAATATATTTTTTTTACAATTTGAAAGTTGTATGATTCGAAATTATAGAATTCGAAAATGCGTTATTATTGTTGATTGTCTGTGTTGGCCTACTTCGATATATTAGTGGACATCATATCTTCAGAGAACTCAAATAGAGAATCAACCACCGATATCAAGGCCCTGATTGGTACTCTGCCGAATACTTGAATTGTCACTTAAAATCAAATTCCTCTGAGACGTTATAAGGAATTATTGCATTCCGTTGTGTTTGCTTTCGTGATGTAGCAGGTAGCACAGCCAACATCAAAAGATCCGTGGTTCGAATCACTTGTAGGGCACATCTGATTTTCGCGTTATTTTTTCCGAAAAGAAAATTGATACCTTTGCAGTGCAGCATGAATTAAAATATGGTAGAATATAAATCATCCAAATTTGGTCAAATGAGCTTCGTCCTCTTCCCAATCGCCTTTTAACGGGGAGGATACAGCGAATTATGGCATTTCGGATGCCTGCTCAGATGTTGTGACTGGTAAGAAGTATTGCTTAATTAGAATATAAGCAATAAGCTAATTAGATTAATGTTAATATTAGAAAGCTACATAGTTCGAATCACAGTAAGAGTATATCTGATGACTTCTTTCGTTTCATTTTGCGAATAAAATCTTAATACTTCTCTAGCGTATACTAAGGCACCGGATGTTAAAACGGCACTTTCACAGCTTCATCCTTTGCTCTTTAAGTTGCACATGCTTCCTAACTGCTAGCAAATGCCTGATTTCTTGATTTACTTAAAAAGAAGAAATTAAAATATTAAAAGTCTTCCTTATAGCGATTAGACGTGTGCGACTTAATTTAATAACAAATCAATCAAAATCGCGCAAATGTGTTTATATCCATGGTCGGAATATCCGTGGTCAGACAGTAAGGCAGCAGTTATCAAATATAAGTTTCTTTGGCTTTTTTAAACGTACTGTAAAACTAACACGTACGTGATATTTGCACTGTGCTCTGCATTAGATGTGTGCACGAGTCTAAATAAGAGACAGTTCTATCAGATTTTTTGAACAGCGGATATAATTATGTAACCCTAATAATAACAACATTCTAAAGCGCGCTAAACGCTGCTACATTCATACGCACAGCTACAGCGGTAACAAATCAAAACTGAATACAATTCTTTGATAATCTTGTGATTGACACTCATTAATGACTTAATCTCTGGATATTTTCTGCTCATGATTTCCAGCAAATACGATGGCATTTTGCTTTTCAGTTTCTTCGAAATCATTTATTACTAATGATATATCCAATTTGTTAAAACAGTAAACATCACAGACAATATAACAATAAACTGCATTTTTGCTAACTTACAGGCAATTTCCAAAAGTCTTGAGTGACTTTGTGCTCGACGAGGGTTCTGATGAGACTTTGGAAGTGTCTGCAGATGCCTTCTGTAGTATCCCTCTGGTAGAGGGTCAACATCACCACTGGAAGACTGCTTCTAGGACAGGGCCAGTAAGAAAAGAAAGAAGAAATTTTTACAATATGTAGAAAATATTTTAAAAGTTGTCAAAAAGCTATTTAAACTCAATTTTAAGAATAATTTACGGTTTGACTATAAGTTTCTAAAGGTTGATTTACGTTCATCACACTTTGAAGAAAACTGTTTGATCAACAGGATCATCTGTGGATCTGTTAAGTTTCTTTTTGCTAACTTGTTAATTTTTCTTTTATTTTGCTTCTTTTATTAATTGATAGATAGCTATCCTAGTAACTTGGGATTATTTTACAGGACTTAAAAAATTTATTTTTCTTTGAAAAAGTAAAAGAGCGAAAGAAATTACTTCACAGTAGAGTCCCCCAAACTCGACCCTCGATTGCTCGACAGTCGTATAACTCGACGATAATTCTTTTTTAATCACTAAAACCTGCTGATCGAGAAGAATAATATCTTTGAAATGATGTGATGGTTTATTAACATCTAGCATCATCTATGCGGTGCCAACAGTATAAGCACATTTTTAATTACTGCATTACTGTAATTTAAAGTGCGCATTTATGCATGTTTTACTGTTCTATTCAAAGACTTGTTACGTTATTTTAATTTTGTAATTATTGTTTCCTTCCCTTTGTGACGGTATTTCTTGGAATCTATGTAACAAATTTCGTGACAGGTTTTATTCTTTTCGTGGAATTCCGATGTACCCTGTTTCTCTTCTCAGTAACAAAATGCCTGAGGAAAGTCAGGTAACTACTCTCGATTACCACTCACATTCTTTCCTTTTTGTTACAAGCTGTTAGTAGATTTATGGTTGCATCCTATTGAAAGCCAAACTTTCAGTTCATTTTGGGGAGAATTTCTCAGTTTATATCCACGCGTACAAATGCTGCGTTGGGCTGCCTGTGCAAGTGAATATATTACACAAGAAGAAAAGAAGCAATTTAGCATAACTGTGGAGCTGAAATTGGAAAGAATTTAAGAAAGGGCGGGGGAAGTATTAAAAAAGTTGCGGTGGTTTTAGGTGCTGTGTGAAATATTATCCGTTGTGATTAACTCCCTCTTTTTTTTGTAAAGGTTGACACTTTCGGTAACTCGACATTTTTTCAGTCCATAATCGAGTTTAGAATAAATCGACTGCAAATAAATTTTTATGCCCATATACTAGATAATATATATATCTTTTTGCCCTCATAAAATAGCGTCTCATTAGATTTTGAAGCCTATTTTATTTTATTTGTAAGCTTCAAACAAGAGCAATCTCCATCAAGAATTTCCATTGTCATTTTCGTGCACAACAACTCTAAAATATGCAAATCGAGATTTTTCCACATCCCGTTACAAAAACGTGCTGAACAGTAAATCCATAACATGGAAAATTGGGAGTTCAGTGCATATGCATACGAATTTAAAGCTTATGCTGGGGTTGTGGTGAATCAATCCACAAAATGAGAGGTTCCTTTACGATTTATAGTGCATAAAACTAAGAAATGCCAGAGATATTATATGATACTAATAATCGTATCGAGGCTAAAAAGTCACTTTAATTTCAGCTATTTAACAATGCCGCTTTAATAAAACAATGTCAACTTTAATTTCAGCAATTTTCTATACTTGTAAGTAATAAATGAATATTAAATTTTTATCATTTTATGACAATGTATGACCATTTAACGTACATTTTGAGTAATATATATGCATATCACGAGTTATATACTTACTTATTTAACTGCGGCAAAATCGTTACGTAAGTCTGAAACCCATGGACCACCTCCAGACATTCGTCGAAGAACAGGACCGATGACGTAGGGGAAGCGAGCCTGTTCTTGTTTGCAGTGTCAATATGAGCCTCGTTGATGCTGTCCGTTTCGCAGAAGGTTCGAAGGGTTTCTTCCATAAATGGAAACGCAAATGTGATATGCTGCTTACCAGGTCTGATGGAGAAACTTTTTATTGCCTAAAAATAAATGAGCGAAGTTATTACCATTGTGGGGTTTCATGTTTATTATCGGCTTTGTTTTAGTAGCCATAGGTGCTTCCTTAGTTGAGGGTCTGAGTCAAACTTTGTTGGTGCACTTTGTCTTGTAAATTTCATTTTTAATGCTTTAAAATTTTACCTTAACATCAGTTCTGTTATTCCTGCAATCTACGTAAACTCTTTCTGTTATTACATAGTGGCGCAAGTGTTGGGATGACAAATTAATAATAAGATTATTCTTAACTTTCTGTACTGTATTTATTTTACTGAGGGAGTAAAAAGGGACGATAAGTTACCAGACTTTCTTTATAGATACAGAGATTAACAGGTTAAAAATGGTTAGGTTCTGTGCATAATCGTTAATAAGTCGTTGTGTTATGTATTTGTGGCTTTTAGAACATTATTTTTTTCTTATAACAATGAGGGAAACCTCCGTTATGAAATAACAAGCAACTATAAGGAGAATACGATGTGTTTAAAATTGATGAAATAATTTAAATGCTGTTGACAGGTATGGTGAATATCAGCACATGGTGCAATAGACTTTGCGGCAGCTATATGTGGCTAATTAGAGGTAAGCTGAGTAATATATCCATTTTAATCCGCAAAGTGTAAAAAGGATCAGCTTCAAGTATAGCATCTATTCTGAAGATGATTACGAACAAAGGCCTCCTTCATAAAAAAGACATCCAACCGATCCCCATACCAAAAGAACATACATATCCAAAAGAATATAGACCCAAGAAACAAAGGAATTGAAGCTGAGACTGACGAATTAAAAATCGAAGGAAAAGTCGGATTTGCTCCAGTGCCACAATATCTGGACTCTGAAATAAAATGGAAAGGGTAATTAAACAATTTCAATAGCATACATCAAGCGGAACTCTCATAAATAAAAGCTGCCATCAACACTGCGTCAATAAACAATTTCTCCAAAATATCCATTAACTCAGAAAAGCGGCCATACTCTCGATCCGAAATCTAGACTTCTCGTCTGGCCCATGAAATAAATCAAATCTGAAAAAATCTCAACACTGAAAATCATAATTTGGATGAAAGGTCACAGCGGCAACGTTGGCTACGACACGGCCAACAATCCGACAAAAACAGCAGCTCTTTCCCAAGAAGGCAATTTCCTCAATATCAAGCTTTCGACATTGCAACTATGACAAACCCTAAACAAACATCTAAGCTACGAGTGGCAAGAAGAGTGGAATAACGCCACAACAGGCCGGCACACTCACCAGCTCTCCCCCCAAATCGGCACAGAAATTAAAAGCTCTAAGTCCTTCCTAACGTAATACCTCACCAGTCTTGACCCATATCCAGATTATTTGCTTAAAAGGAACTTTTCAAATAGAGGCAGTTGCATCTATGAAATCAAAGGAGATGCAATCCATTACATATTCTTCTGTCCTCTTACAAGTGACCTACACATCCGGAAACCCACCAATCTAGTCCTTTAAAAGAATGGTAATATCTCAACGCCACCTATATCCAAAAAATCATGATAATACACCAAAACTCAATACTTTAGGACTGGACCTATGCCAAGTCACACCTTAGGACCGAAAACGGAAAAGCGAAAAGAGCAATGACTAGGCTAACCCCAATAATTGATTCCGAGCAACATTAATAATTTCCACAGCGCTTTAAAACACCAAACATACTAAACTGAGCCAATGAACTTTATTTATGAACTTTGGACCTTGGACAGAAAGATCTGAGCTCAGTACAGTTTTATCTGCAACAAATATCCTCAGATAACAAGAATAAATCTTCCAATAAATTAGCATAATCAAATCCCATATGTTTATCTACTTACGTAAAAATGCAAAAATTCCAGTGCAACGGTCTCCAAAATATCAAATTACTTAATCCAATATTCTAATGAGTATACTCAACAGTTTGTGTTACATTATGTAAATTATGTTATTATATTATGTATATTATATTATGTAAATTTATGTTATTACCCTCTTGTGTTTAAATATAACAACTCCAATGCATAACTCTAGTGTTACTTAACAGAAAAAGCATAGATTCAATTCCAGGTTTTCGTACTCTTGTTGGTTAGTGTATCGGGGCAATACCTGTTCGATCCTGTAGTAAAGTCTCTGGTGCCCCATGCACTTTTACCTATTTACCTCTTGAAGAATGGAGTGCGGAATATGAGGAAGAGCTCCAAGATTATTTTGCACATCATATTTTCCAGACATTAATAGATTCGGATATCTCTGGAAAGTTCTGCAGTGTCAGAATTAATATAAGACAGTTCAGTTACGTAATTTTGGGAAATGAGGTCTCCGTGATCGGTATAGTGACTAGCGAGAATGGCTGTCGTATCGCTGGGCCCGCGATTGAATCTTGGAGGAAGCTTGGATGTTTAAGTGTTTAGTGTCTTTGCAACATGGGCAACTTAAAACACAAAGCACGCCAAAATTTCTCGCTATGGGTTTATGGTAAGGAAGTGGAGTCTTTGGGCTGACACTTTGGGGATTATACTTCAAAAGGAGGGAGGAACTGGGCAGTCATGCTGTCACAAAGTATCCAAGGCCAATGCCAACGACAGACGCAATCCTACCTGGCTAGCCACAATAAAATTCGGAGACTTGTGATGTTTTGGCAGACAAATGAGATGAATCTCAACAATAGCAGAGACATCAAAGATTTGTTGGTTAAATATATTCATTTCGCAAAGATGTTATTACGGAATAATGAACAGGTTAGTGTTGTTTCAAACCACTTAATAATTTATTTTTATTAACATGATGCTATAAATTTATTTTTCTTAAAATGATGTGGTGCTACTTTGGTTGACGGGTGCACGGATTTTTGGCGATTAACGTTGGCGCAATTGTTGGCGCGATTTTTATAATCGTCAGCCATCTTGAAAAACGCTGTTTTTACGCATAGTAAAGTATTCGAAACTTAAAAAAAATAAATATCGTTAAAAGTAATGGATTAATTTTTTGTTGAAAATGTCGTTTTTTAAGATGGCAGGCAAGTGTAAATAAATAGATTTACTATGAGTATAAAATACTAAAGTAAGGTTATTATTACTTTCATACAGCAAAAAAGAGAATAAAAACACCGCTATAAAAATATTGTGCCAACGTTTAATTAGATTAAAATATTACTGAAATTGAATATCGAATCAAAAACCCTCATACCAACATTTAAAAGAATTAGAATATTATTAAATTCAAATACTTTAAAATACGTTATATAGAATATAATTAACATTAAAACATATGTGACAATAATTATCTCAGATATTTTTGAAAATAGTGTATTAATTTTTTTTAACAAAAATTGAAGTACACAATTATAAAATAAAAGAAAAATATGTACTTACATTTTTTTGAGTCATTAAACCTGTTGTTAATTAATTTAACCTGTTGTTTATTGATAAGTACCAAAAAAATCGGAATCATAATTGAATCGGCTCTTTTAACCATCTTCATCTGTAATCCACATTTCTCGCATTTCATTGAAGAAGCAATTAGCGAGGTTTCCTCCAAAAATTTAAAATAAATTTCCTCTGACGCTATTAACAATTTATAAATAAATCTTTGATTAGGAAAGACGGGTTGACTAAAATAAGGTCTCAAAGGGCAATTTTTTTATTCCAATACGAATAATTCTTGGTAATTACCAATAAGAACATTCATATCCATTCCATTGAAATCTGAGGAATTCGAAGAGATGAATAATAAAATTTTAAAATGGCGCGGTAATGCACAAATATTCAGTAACCAATCAGGGAGCTGATTACATCACGCATAGAATTAAAATTATTTAAATAATCATTCATAATAAAATCATTTTTAAAAACAAATGCAAAATTAAATTGTATTTTAATGTTTAACAGCCATAAATAATGTTTAAAACATTAGATTAAATTTGTAGTATTTAATAAAACCAATTACTTTTTAAGTAAGGTGACGTCATTGATTACATCATCCACAACATAAAATTACATAAAATATTATAAACAGCAAAATTTTTATTTCAAATAAAAATGCAAAATTAAGTTGATTTTTAATATTTAGAAGCCATAAATAATATTTAAAACACGGAATTTATGCATAATAAAACGCATTATTTTTTTAATAAAATGACAACAAAGTATCGGTTACCATAAATAACTTATCCAGCAATGGGTTTACCATAAATTGTATTACTTGCCAAAAGAAAAATCGCCAAAATCCGTGCAACCGTCTACCAAAGTAGCACCCATGATGTTATGCTTTTAGTAATGTTTTGCTCGTAGATTATGTATTAGAGGTTCTTGGAAAATTTTTTGTCTTATCAGAACGAAGAATATTGCTAAACAGAGTTTATGAATATTTACAAGAAGCCATATATTTTTTCAAAAATTTATAGCTTAATGAAGCCTTCATTATAGATAAAGGATATGCAAATCGAAGAAACAATAAAATACGAATTAAAAATGATAGCAGACGAACGAGAATATAAAATTTAAAGGCAATAAAATAAAAAATAAGGAATTTTTTTATACTATTTATATGGGGACAAAAGCGAAATAAAGGAAAGAAGAATTCAGTACGTAAGATGTGTAATTAATACTGAGAACTGATAATTATAAGGATTTTGGTCATCATCTACCCTATGATTAACATAGGAAGAGATCAACAGACTGATCATAAAAATATACATACTCATATATGGTATGTCTATGCATACAGAAGGACTACCTTCGGAGAAATTTGACTCAAAATTCACTTCCGTTGAGAAATCGTAAGATAATTCGAAACAATGATTATGCTGCAGATAAAACGAGATCTCGATATCTTCACAAAATGCATTTAATCATTCCTAACCATTTCAGGTTTTAAAAATTGGCATCAAACTTTATTTTTTTGAAGAGATATTTATTTAACCTTTTGTTCATCCTTAACAATCTCTAAGTAGTTTCATTTTAAATTTGGCTTGCAGTTTTCGATATGAAAATATCTAGAAGTACAAAATTTCGAATTTGAATAAATGATTTAAAATTTTTTAATAACTTCATATTTTTAACGAAATATGCATTGTCTAAGTTTAAGGTTTAGAACTTAGGATATGTCGAAATTGTGTAATGCATGAATTCCAAAATTATGGTAATAAATAAACTGTACTGTACTTTCACTTCAAGTAATTCCTAAGTTTGCTAATTTAGGAGAGGTGCTCAATAAATTACCGAATTTTGTCCTGATAATACAAACGCAAAAATTATTCAACGCATTCAATTCTGAAGCGAACTAATTAGTATTCAGCAATCTATAATCGCTCGACCACTTGTTGGGGCTGTGAACATCTGTATGTTTGATGAACATGTTTTTGCCTACGTTGTTCTCCTATCAAGATTCCTGATGCTTCGAATTCTAGGTTCCTCTGTGGGTTGCAGTCTGATCATTTTCGTAATTAAACTGTTCACTTAGGCAGAAGTCCATGCAGTCTCTTAGCTATGTTATGAAACTGCTCTGCGTTTTAAGTATATCCGTTATATTAATATAACTATCTTATATTATATAATCCTCTTAAGTACTTCCATTAAGCGTTTTAAGTATATCCATGATAGCTGCGCCAACATATTTGAACAGGTAACATTTTGATTACTGCTAAATCACTACCTGGAATTAGGTACATCATCTGCCATAAAAACATATGTGATAACTTTCTGATTTCAAGAAATTTATTGAATGTCTTTTGGATTTTAAGGATTTTTAAATATATGTATATGTCATATATTTTTGATATACCGGAGAGGCGGAAAATTTTTTATATTATATATTTTTTTCTTATTTACTACTTAAAAATTTTAACATAGAGAATGAAAATATAGTTTTAAATTTAGAGCTCAGAAGTTTAATAGCTAACTAACAAATTAATTATATATTTGTTTTATAACAATTCTTGTCTTTTTGTCTTGTAATAATTTTTGTCTCATAATAATATTTGTCTAATTGGAAATTACTACCAAATGAAATATGCTTTAAATATAAGTGACTGAAATTTACAGACCTGTTGAACGTTATCTGGAAGACATCCAATAAGAGCCATTGTCAGCATGATGTCTTCTCCAATGACGCTACGGAGATGACCTTTTAGCTGAAAAAATGAGACATCATTAACTTAAGAAAGCATCAGAAGAGCCATAATTACCCAATTTGTTTCATATGATGTCAGAATAATTTATAAAGTATAGTGGCACAAACGTATTCTTTAGAAAATATGAGTTATCGAAAGAATACGGAAAGGCTTGTTTCATAATATTCAGCGAGATAGCTGCTTTTAGAATTTAAAAAGAAAAGTAGTTTATTAATGAAAAAGGGAAGGAGTTGATAATTATATCATTTCTACAGAGATAATATCAACTTTCTCTCTTCTCTTTCTATATGCAATTATTTAAATAAAACTATGAAGTATTTGCTGTACATAGAAAAGACAAAAGTTCAGTAAATATACTACATTTTCTTTATTTGATAATAACTAAAAATTAAAAAAAATATTTAAAATGTACTTGACTTTTTTTTAAATACAAATTTTAGTTTAGCAATCATAGATCTGATATAATTTTGTTACCATAGGAAAGTATTTTTTGTCATATAAAAAGTCGGATAATTTTAATTCGTTCGGTACATCTGTCCGCAATATTTAAATTTTTACCTATTTTCATAAATACAGAAAATTAAAGTCGTCATTATAAATTTCGATTCGCGAGAAAATCTGATTTTGTTTTTCTGAAGATTTTCTTTCATCTATCAGTTAAATATTATAAACTGCGAAATATTCTAAAACTTTCGTATTCCTTCTTTTGCACATATTTAGAACAATGTTTTGTTCCTCTTTAAACGCCTTCTATGGAGGAACAATTTTCCTGCAATTTATTCTGATGGTTTTTTAATAACAAATTACATATTTTTTTACTTGCTAATTGCAGAAATATTCGTTTTATTAGTCCAGGGTAGCGTTACCCAAGATTCACTCTAAACGGCTGTATCTCTTTTCAAATTGTTGCCACCAAATATTACCGTCATGTATTATATTTCAAGAAATTAAATAATGAAGAATCTGCTTGAGTGTATGTCTGCTTCTTGCATTGTAAAAAAACAACGATACCTAGAGCCATCAAATTTTGAATTACGTACTCCTCCACCCGAATGTGGGCACTTGGAAGCCCGAATCTTGAATTTCGAATTTGTATTATTATCTGGTTCATACTTTAACTAATTTTTGATTAAGAAACTCAACGATTTCAAAGCGAGCAGTGGCAACACACTGTGCGGAATAAAATATATTTATCTCCAGCGCGCGAGACTGTCTGTTGGAAATTCCAAAGATATCCTCTTTTTTAATATTTTTAGCCCAATGTGACGTTAGTCAAAATCCTCTTGAAACGTATATGTGTCTGTAAATAAATAAAAAAACCCTCTCCTTTCGGGATAATATAAAATCTGAAACCTTTCAGATTTTTTTTTTTTTTCTTTTTAGTCCAGTATGAATGTTATTATTTCTAGTATAAATATTTGTTCTGCAGCCAAGGCGTTTATGCAGAAACTTTACTAAAAACACGAAAGAGAGTTTATTTGATCGTGATCTCATAAATCAGTGGTTTTTCCACTCAAGCCAAAATTAGAAAAATTTTATAATTTTTAACTAATTAATGCAAAAAAAAAAATGCTTGCGTTCCTTTAAAATTAATTTACTGAAAGCTTATTGTTAGATTTTTAATTAAAATCTACATAATATATTTTAAATAGCAAATATCCGAAATGTGCACCATATTGATACGAATTTGGTATTTAAAAAGCTAATGTTAGTTCAATTATAAATTAAATGGTTTTATTTCTCGCGCAGTGCAGCGCGTGACGAATATTAAAAGAAAGCTAAGCCGGAAAAATTAAAAATACAAGAGCGCGTGCGTTAAATAAATAAATATCTCTTTTTGATTTCGAGAAAGTGCTGGAAAATTCTAGCGCGTGATTTTAAAATGTTACAAAAGGAGGAAAACATCTCAGTTTGTAGTTGTTTGCTTAGTTTGTTGTTGTCTAGAAAACTGCTCTTGTTGATTGTAGCGAATTCGCGGATTAGCGTTCTTTAGCTGTTTTGAATGACGTTGTATTGGGCATTTGAGTAGTTAAAAGATAACTACTGTGAGATATTGTAATACTGCATAATAATTTGAGAAAATTTAAGCATTTTTGTTGTGATAATAATAAATTTTTGTTCATTTTTCATCGGACTTGTGCATTCATTTCATAACGAACCCGTACGCACGCAACAATATGTTTTAGCAAATACCTGCTTCATTACGCTAATAATTAAATACGTAGAACAAAGCTTAAATTTCCCCGTTCTAGGAAGGCGAGAATGAAGCAGTTATAATTTCAATTTTATTTTCCTTTGTTTGAACGCGAACCTTCATCATTTTTCATTAGTTTGGTTTAGTCTATTTGATTATGGCAAAGCACTTGAGGGCTATCTGCCTGAGGGATGTGTTCCTGGAGGGTGTTTTAAGGGAAACTTCTAACTTTGGACTGAACTACCAGTATTCAGCGAGTTTTCCGCTCAGCCGCTGGTGAGCCTAATTTTTCACTAGTAATTATACTTTTTCATGATTTTTATTACTAAATAATTATTTCTTAATTTTTTTATTTTCTATATTTTAAATAAATAAAATTTTGTTTATAACCGCTCATGTTTTATAGCATGTGAAAGTTTCAGATTATTTAACATCTGAAGTGGTACTAACTTTACGATTTGACAGTACATCTTTTATATGCATTGTGTGCAAAATTTGTAAAATATAGCGTCGTGCTATGAGTATTAATCTCACAGCAAAAAGGCAAAGTCTGAGCTATATATAACTGAAAGCATTTTATTTACATTTCTTGAGTGTTTAATACTATTAAAAAGTTCCTATTTTTGTACTGAAAAATGACATTTGCTTTTTGTTTCTTCAGTTGTTATGAATATTTTCTCAAATAATTTACAGTGCAAGAATTGATAGTTAATTTATTGAAGGCTTCCTGTTTGCCCCATTAATGATAAAATCTTGAATAATAAAATATTCATTCATACTGTAGAATTTCCTCTACGCCTAGAAAGAAAAATGGGAAGGATCCTAATTTTTGACTGAGGTTTCAGTCAACTAACTTTTAATTCTCTTCTAACATTTTCAGGGAAAATAACGGTTATTTCAAGTTCTTTGCAAGCTTTACAGCATTGGGTCTTCTCTTATAAACCTCCAATTTTTGGAATTAGCTTAGAATGTGGTCCAAACTTCAACGCATTTTCAACAGTTCAACGTAATTGCCATAACTTTATAACATAAAAAATAGTTTAACGCTTTATATCAAGGATTCTTTGGTTATTTTGAATAATTTTGCCATCTTTAAAATGATGAAAATTTAAATTTCTATTAGAACGTTTCTTTAATTTGTAGCATTTTGCACAGAGGGCAATTCTTGGGATGTATTTTAGTTTAAAATAATCGTATAACCAGAAACACTATCTACAAAAACATCTCGATAAATTTCATGTGCCCAAATTATTATGTCAGGTACTGATTGACACTTTTTGAATAAATTATTTTATTTCAAGAAATATTTAATTCTATTTATTATAAAATAAACAAGATTTAAAATAGAGAAAAAATAATATATTTGAAAAAAGATGAAGTTTATGTTTCAGTATTTAGTGCAAGATTTATGCAAAAAATTTTCAAAAATACAAGTGTCCGAAAACAAACGTGAGTAGTATATAGCCAGGATAAGAATTCTCAGGTCCCTTTATGAGGGGTCTCTCTGTAGCCGTGGGAATCGTAAAGGATCTAGATCGAAACAAACTTTCTCAGCTACACTTTCCCTGGGGATCCTCCAAACGATCTGACGATGCGCTCGCGTTTCCGGTAGCTAAATAAGTGCGCCTCTACAGCCAGATGGCGCTTTTCTCACGCGGACTCTCTGGAATATTGAATTGAAGAGAGATCACGCTTTTAAACGATATTTACATGGAAGGAAATATTTCGCCCTCTGCTTATAGAGATGCGGATGTTTCTTCCCTTTGACATTTATTGTTTTTTTCGAAGTTGATCTCGGCAGTGATTTTAGGGTTTCAGTCTTTTGTTTGTTGGTTTCCCCCTTTTTTCTATTGCGCCTGTTTATTTTTATTTTTCTGTGTTTTACAGTAAATGTAGTCTCGTGCTGCATTCAGTCTTAATTTGTGGTGGAATTTGAATGAATGATGTGAGACCTTTTTTACTTTATTTCTAAGGCAATTACAAAGAATGGAGTTATATTTTAAGTTTTGGAGCTATAAGGTGAAGCAGCAGTTTTCAAGACAAATTAAAAAAACTTTGCTTGTAAACAATTCAGAATTTTTAAACAATTTTTAAAGACGAAGTTTCTTATTCTGAGACATATCGAACCTTGGTCTAAACTATTTTTCAGTATCAGTAGCAGGGCCGTCTTAAGGAATTCGGCGCCCATGGGCTACTAAAAATAATGCGCCCTTCTTCCTAAGAAAATACACAGAATGGCAAATGGGAGTCGGAAAAGTTATACAAAACAAAAGTGTCAGAACTAGAAAAAAACTATTTATTACTTTTATAATAAACTGTTATCTTTATTGTAACTTTTCTTTAAAGTCACTTATTTAAAAGATGGGTATAAATGTTTACCCAGATTTGAGGGGATTATCTCAATAATGACAGTTCCGATCAGTTTTTAGTCTAATCCTTAGAACTTGATCGGAACTATTATATGATTCTCGATCAGTGCATAACATAAACAAAAATAAAATTTAATTAAATAAAAAACCATTTAAGAACAAAAACACACCTTAATCTAAACAAATGTAACTTATATATTTACTTTCCTAGCTTTTTCTTTGGCAAACTGATCAATAATATCACTAGTATTTAAATTTTCAAATAAATCTCTTTCAATAGACAAAATACTTAAATCATAGAGTTTAGTCTGTCCCAAAGAAGATCGTAAGTAATTTTTTATTCTTTTGATTGCTGAAAATGATCTTTCGCCATTGCAGTTTGTTGTGGCGATACTTAAAAATATGCGCAGTGCTGTGGTTACGTTTGGAAATGTAGA